ACTCACATATCCAAACCATAACGGTCCAATCGATCTTTAGAGCAACCTATACCTACTACCCTTGACTGGAGTATTGATTCATAATTTTAGGAGAAACAGTTACAGGATTTGTTCAATGTATCTTTTTTCACTTGAACACTTAAAAGTACATTTTTTTAGAAATAATAATTTCGTAAGATGCCAGGGTTGCATTGTGTCTCAGTTTAAACAAGTCTCACACTAATACTTGGTATCAAGTTTTTTCTCCTATGGTTTACAGTTGTAATTTTGTTCAGGTTTCAGAGAGGATCGGATGGGTTTTTGCAATTGCAACAATGCTCGCTCTGATTTATGGGCTTTACTACATTCAGCTGGGGCCTGTCAGTTCTGCTGTTTATGTTGCGTTAAGCCATACTTCATGGGCTCTCGCGCTTTCCTGGATCATAATTATGTGCATGATTGGTCGAGCAGGTGCGTCCAATCTTTAGTTTTTTAATGTGTATAGTAATCAAATATAACAAGAATTTTTGACAAGAATTTCATCAAGACCCTACCTCACTCCTAAAAATCCATGTATCTTGGTTATCTTAGAGCTCAAATTGAGAAATAAAGTGTGGCCTTAATCAGTTTTTAGGATCAAAATACATATTATTACATTCCATTTTCTCTCGCGCCACTAGTGTAGTCCCTTCCAAGTTCCAAAAACCAGTCTTCTTTTCCGTAGTTTGAGTCGAAGAGCCCGTTTCTTTCCATGGTTATCGAGGCATTGGTTAGGTTTTTTTACATTGCATATTTTTCTCGAGGATTGTGGAGTCAGCCCGATGCCCCAACCCCCAACCTGATGGGCCAGGGTTTGATCGGAGTTGCCTGTCCTAAACAGTTTTCTTATACCACAGCTAAAGAGCCCTGTCTACCCACCCCTCTTGAGGCAGGGGCTACCAGCTGGGGTCCGCAGGATTTGCTAAACCTGTGACAATACAGTCCCCCATACGTACATAAAATACGTACGTTTAAAAAAAGATATCTTCCCTTCCAATTACCTTATTCACAACCTTAACAATCACATTCCTTTTCCAGTTCTATTTGAGTCATCATACGGTATGAAATTGAATTGTATGATTCTTACGAAGGTAAATAAAATCGTGTAAACATTATTGTGCCCTGATTTTATTTTGATTTACTAATATATCCTTACTGTTGACAGGTTTCATTGATAAAGTTTTATCCTTCAAATATTTGTATCCTTTGAGTAGGATAACTTATTGCGCTTACTTGATACATCCTCAACTCATGCGATCGGCTGTTCTCACTTCTGACGCTACCACTCACATCTCAGTGCAAATGGCTGTAAGTACAAATTACAATTTTCGGATCTCCTTTACTGAGTTGAGATAATGTCGTGTTTTTCAGTCCATTTCTTCTAATCCATAATTTGCTCAAGCAAAGTGTGGATGCTAGGAATTCAAGCACTGCCATTTCGCCGATGCCAGAAAGTGATGGAAACTCTCTCCGTACGCATATCGGTCCTCATGCTAATTCTTAATTCTTCGACTTTTGACATATTTTGTCTTATTTTCAACTACTTTGGACGAGAGAAATTTTCCCACACAGCGACATGCTGAGCAGTTTGTGGATGGAGGTAAACAGACGATGTTTCGCTCAAAAAAATCATGGCGTATTAAAGGCTAAACTATTACGTAACACATTTTCCAATTTTAGTATTTTACAATTTCCAAGCTTTTATATATGGATATCAGTTTAATATTCTGACATAAAATTTGCACAGGATGACTAATTACTAGCGAAGAGAATTCAAAGAAAAATTCAAGCAGCCATANAGACAAAAGATCCTTTTCAGTAGCAAGAGATTCCAATAAAAATAAGAAACAAACGGAAGGACAGAAAACCGATGGTAAAATCTGTACTAATATGGGAAACCAATTATCCATTTTAGGATCAGAGACTAAAGGGAAACAAATTTCTAATAAAGAGAATCCAAAATCAAAAAGAAATGTAACTAGTCAACCCCCTCCAATATTCACAAGTGATGCTCCCCGAAAAGAAATGAGTGAAATCCTGTTTGAGAAATTTTAATTTGAAGATCATTCGATTAAGATAATTGGCAAGGACGTGTTAAAAGTTTACTGTATCACCACGAAAGTAAGGAAAATGAAAAATTCTTGTAATTTTTGAAAGAAGATGACAAGAAGTTTTATACCTATCAATATAGCGGAAATCCGAAAATAGCAAAAATATGCATTTCCCTCCGAGTTACAGATTTTACGCCGCCCCAGGGTCTGTTTTTCCCACTGTGCGGCGTAGCGCGGTATTGCTTATCACGCACTGTATTCAATTGTTCATACGTGAAAATTCCTTGACCGGACACGAAAGTTCCTGACTTTTCCCGGTTTTCTCTGACGCTTACCACCCTGGCTTTGCTACTAAACAAACAGCCACAGCACTTGAAGAGTTAGGGTTGGCACATATACTCCAGACATTGACATTTTCAGGGATTCACGCCGTGTGGAGTCTGTTTCCGCAGATCCGCCCGTCAGCTCCCTGAAAATTTGTCGCCACCACCGGGATACAAACCTGGGACCAAACCAAATTCGGAAGTTTACCCTAAAGACTCTCTTGGAAAGTTATTCCCTGGAGGATAAGATCCATTTTCCCAGATCCGGTCACGAATGTTCAAGTAAACGGAACATGCCCCATTTTCTTTCGGAAAGACACAAGTGGCAAATAATGATTTATAATGCCTATAATCCAAATTGTAATGCATTATAATAGTAATGCCACATTATAATGTCGTATAATACATCGCAACGATTCATGTCCTACTGATTATTGATTATTGTGAGATGAATTCTGTTTTCTCTGATTGTATGTTTTATACGTGCGAAGCACGTACGGGTCGCTAGTCATATATATAAAGTCGCTTTATAACGCACTCTGGCGTTCTACGACACCCAAGCGCCACATATGCCTGTCTTCCCAGAGGTTATCGGGCAACTGACACCGCAACATCTCTTTGTCAACGCCCTGCCGCCAACCCTTTACGGGACGTCCCCGTCGCCTCTTCCCAGGTGGTACCCAATATAAATCATGCACTACTTTAATATTTCATTCATTCCTTGACAGAAAAAAGTAGGTATACGGTAATGAGAATTTCAAATTGCCAAAATTTAATTCAGCAGATAAAAACAAGAGAAATTATCTTTTAATGAAGTTCAAAATCCGGACAACCCGGCCATCGTGCACTAGACGGTAAACAAAACACTGCGAATGAATAAGTGATCACAGACTGCGTTCTAGCGGCGGAAAAGTGCCGCTAACAGGGTCTACGGTAATGATGCGAAAATTTTGTTACATTGCTTCCGGGTGGCGTAATTTTATTGCTATGCTAAACTTTGACATAAACACCAAAAAATACTCTTTGAAATACATCTTGGCTGTAATATTTGCCAAGGTTTTATTTTTTTTGGGCTTGAATCTTTTGAAAACCTAACATAAAATTAATGACCTACAGATTATTACAGGCTACGGTAATGATTTTTTCGACGTTTTTGAGTTTTCCACTAGAATTTTTGGATGGAAAATATTAAAATATGGCTAAAACGAATCAAGGACATTGTTCAGTACACAATTTTGAATAAATAATTGACAAACTTCTTCTCCTTCTTCTAATTTTGAACGAGGTACAGAGGGTTTACACGAAAAGTAAAAAGTTATTTGAACTTTGTCGGTAGCGTGTCGAATGCTTCGATCGACAGCCAACACTGTAAAATGACGCCTTGCCGCTCTGCGTCATTTCATTGTGGCAGTCAACATACATTAATCGACGCGGAGACCTTTACTCGAACAGTGATGAAATGATGGCAAAATTTAGGAGAGCCTCAAATTCGTGCCAGCTCCGCTTCTTATTTAATAGCTTCTCGTGTCGTCCAAATAAGTTCCGGCCAACTGTGAAAAAAGAAGGAAAGACCAATTAAAGAGGGAAAAGATGAAGGAAGTTGGAGTTCTCGTTCAGTCGACGGGTAACGCAACGCACCAAGGGAGAGGGGGGGGGTGGTTCAAATTTTTGGTGCGTTCGAGATGGAGGAGGAAAAGCTCACAGCTATGTAATGCTCTAAATTTGACGATTACGTGGATTGCATTTAGCAAAAAGGAACCACTAGCATTGCAATGATGCCAAGATCGTGCAACTTCATCCTTTGCAATAAAATTGCGGAAATTGTGAAAAACTATGAAATTTAGATGGTAATTTTTGCCTTAAATTTACAGTTTTTAGCGAGTAAAATAGAAACTATTAAGGGATTATCGGGTTTTTCCTCCAAGACAAAAGAAGTTGCACAATCTTAGCAACATTGCAATGCTAGTGGTTCCTTTTTGCAAAATGCAATCCACGTAGCAGTTTGCTACACACAATTTCTCAAGCTTGAATTATAACACCACGTTTTACAGAGGCGTACCAGGATTAACGGACAATACTTTACAGTTTTCATAGTGGCACAATTTTTTTCCATGAAGGCCTCCCCTCGAAGCTACGAAACTCCTTTCTATAAAAGCACTTACGTTTTTTTCAATTCTACCATGGGCAATACAAGTACACGTAGCTGCTTGTGGAGCCGAAAGAGCACCTTATGAAGTAGGGTCTACGGGAGCTGAAAATAATCCCACCGAAGGAGATCCTCGGATCAGTTCCGAAGGAGGTTTTGGGCATTCCTTCAGCTGCAAAAGGTGTCCATGGGAGTCTCGTTGGAAAAATTTTGTAAAATTGAGCCGTCTTAGAAGCTATTTTAAACTGCTCGCCTACAGAAAATTGAATCTAATTACAACTCCAGAAATGAAAGGTATACGTCATGTGCACTTATTTAGTAAATTCTCTCACATTTGGGAAGAGCTTGGAAGGAGCCATATAGATTTATCGGAGGAGAGAGAGGCAGATTGGATAGATCTCCCTGGCTCTCCTCCTAGAAAGTTTGCTCTCCTTTCAAACCCTATGAAGTCCATTCTTTACATTTTTCGTCGCAATTTTCATTTTCAAGCTTAAAATAAGGACGCTGACTTACTGTTTCAGGTGGGCTCAGAGGTTT